ACAGAGTGAAAAAGGGGTTCAGCTGTAAGGGCCTGAGAGGTGAGGGTGGGAGGGCGGGTGGAGGTGTAATCTCAGCAGATGGTGGACACCCTGGAGGCCACTGTGCGGCCCTGGTTCTCCCTCTGTGTGATTTCAAGGTCCATTGCATGGTTGCAGTGGGGAAGAGAACAAGCCTTATGATCTGGCTTCTCTTGAAGAGGATCATTCTGGTAGGCGCTTTGAGAAAACAACTGGATGAGGGCCTGGGATGATGTAGAAAGTCCTATTTGTAAGGGTTTGTGATCTGGGTATATGTCCGCTGAGCAGCGAACTCACTGTCTCAAGTTCTGTATTCTAGTTGGGACTCTTCTGCTAACTGCTGGAGGGTATTGGCACAATCACTTAATGTTTTATTCAGAAGGGAAATAGAAGTGAACACTTAGTAGATTTAAGTTGGAGCCAGTTTCTTCTTAATCCCTATGACCTGTAGCCTGCTAGGATCCCCAAGTTTGTTTTTCTTTTTCTCCAACACCAGAACATGTGCCTTTGCTCGCCCCACCTCTGTCCTCATGGTTTCTTTACTAGCAGCTCTGACTTCCCCTTCCCAGCCTCTCTCAACACATGCAAAAGACAAGAAGCAGAGGACAATGGCTTTGCTAAGCCCTGGATTGTTCTGAAGTTTGAAGTTGTAACCCAGAAGCTATCTCTTTCATGAAAGCAGTCAGAACTGGATATTAGAAATATTGTGGAGGTTAATGGAAGAGCAACTTGAGCCTCCCTACTACTGAACTGTTTAATATTCTAGAATTTATGTTACACACTGAAAGACAGACAACTCTGCAGTTTTGGGACTGGGGTATGCCTGTGCATACACACATCTGCTCTGTTTTGGTTTCACTTCACTTTAGTTATTTGATTTGGTGTCTGCAAAACCCTGTGTGCACCTTTTTATGAGCTTTGGGACAATTTACTGCCAAGCTTGCTTGAACTCTAAAATATGCCTCCAGTTTCGGAAAACCACAAATTATTTACCAAGGAGGCAAGGAAATGGAGGTCACTGGGCTCATTTCTTACATAATTTTCAACTTCCTTTCTGAGGCCTGACATCTCCCAGCAGTCACAGTGATGTCTTCTTTAGATAGCTTCAATAAGGGGGAAGAAAAGATGAAAAGTGGTGAAAGTTGCTAACTGCTGTGTTCCTCTGCTTGCTTTTCATGCTGTGTGCCAGGAATCAAAGCTGGTGTAGTGGAAGGTAGATATAAAGTAACCCCCTTTTCCTAGGTTGTTGTGTTTATAAAGAGTTAAGTAGGAACTGCTAAAAACAAACAAACAACAAAAAACCCTCCACTTTGTGGGAAACAAAGTTATTTAAGGCCTGAAAACAACAGTATTAACCTAAAACAATAGAAAGATGATCACCAAAATGAAAGTACAGAACAGGTATAGAAAGTCGATCTCTGAAACACCAGTGGGTGTCAGTTTCTTCCAAGATAATTCAAGGGTGACTAACATGTAACTAGCAAATACATTCAACATATGAGAGAAAAAGAATGAGGATAAAGGGGGGCTATAAAATAAACAGGAGAAGAAGTGATGACCGTAGATCAAATGGGAAGGATAAAGAAGGAGGAAAAGATAGCTCCTATGTGTCCAGCTTGGAAAGATAATGACTCAGTTGAGTGAATAGGGGAGACACATTGAGGGTCTGAAAGCCAGGAACTCAGGAATTTTTAAAGACACGGTAAAGTTCTTGTTGCATAGGTTTACTTATGACACATGGGTACATAGGTCTGTCCAAAGGGGCTGGGACACTTCGTTAGGTTTGAGGAATTTTTTTCTGCTATATTCTCTTTTTCCTTTCTTCCAAGAAGGCAGGGTACGGAGAGGTACCAGGTGCTGGTGGATAGTTTACCTTGGAGATTGCCACCTTACGGAGGAAACAGCTGGTAGAGTCAGCAGAGACCTCTTCTGGTGGGCCTCAGAGTTGTGAGTTAAGCACTTGGACCAGGGAAACATCAGATGTTTTCATGACATCAGTGGGATTTAATTCAATCAACGAATAGGACCCAGAAATAAATTAGCTGAGACAGTGGGAGAAGAGGGGCAGAATCCCAACTGTGCTCAGTTATAATTTCAGATGTAGAATAAAGAGTGCTCCAGGAAGCACGGCTCCAGGCAAATGATGAATTTTTGAATTTCTCCATGTTTATGATTTCATTTTTTTCTCTTCATGTTTATGATTGTAATTATCTGTTTCCCGAAGTGATTGGTGGAAACAGTTTAAGAGGAAATGAATATATGTGCTGAAAGGGGAGGTAAAAGTAGGGTGACATTCCATTTCATAGTCAGGCTTGTGGGTGGGGAGAGGATGGAGAGAGTGAAGAGAGAGAGAAGGGTCCGTAGTTTCTGAGAGGAGGAAGGAGGAGAGGAACACAAGCTTAGTTCCTGAAGAAAGACATTGATGGGATCCCAGGCTGATTCCACTCGGATCTGCAACACTGCAGAGAAATCCAGAAGCCAGCAGCTAGAATGAATGTTTATTTCTCAATAGAAAGAAAAAAGAGCTGAGATGGAGCTGAAAATACTGAACTGTCTGAAATGAATTAGGCTAATGAATGAGTTTTTTTCCACATCCATGTATAATCCATGTGAAGTTCATTTCATATCTGCAACGATCTCTGTGAGAGTCCAATGCCTAGCACTGTTAAGGGCTCAGTAAATGCTGGTTCTTTACTTCTGATTCTACCCACAGTTATACCTAATTCTCTATTATTCTGGTATGTGAGCCACCTCAGTCAAGCTTTCTACAGTGTATATCTGTAGAAAGTCAACATACAAAGTTAGTAAGTCAACATACAACATAAAGTAAGCTTTCTAAAGTCAACATTCGAAGTAAGAGTTAAGACCGGGTGCGGTGGCTCACGTCCGTAATCCCAGCACTTTGGGAGGCTGAGGCGGGTGGATGACCTGAGGTCAGGTGTTCGAGACCAGCCTGATAAACGTGGTGAAACCTGATCTTCAGTAAAAAAATAAAAATTAGCTGGGTGTGGTGGCACATACCTGTAATCCCAGCTACTCAGGGGCCTGAGGCATGAGAATCACTTGAACCTGGGAGGCAGATGTTGCAGTGAGCCGAGATGGCGCCATTGCACTCCAGCCTGGGCAACAAGTGTGAAACTTTGTCTCAAAAAAACCAAAACCAAAAACCAAAACAAAACAAAGTAAGAGTTAAAATGTAATGTTCTGAACTCTACTTCTTTTGAATTATTTTCTCAACTTTCCAATTGACTCATACTTGTCAGGCATAAAGTTTCTCCTTAAAATTGGTTTTATTTATCTCAGTTATAAGACAAATTTGAAACAAATGGTTTTTATTTGTTTTGAAAAGCAGCTACAACCTTTGAATGATAAACACAACTTATCCATCTTTCATTTGTTCTTTGTTTTGACTTTGTTGAATTTCCATTTTAGACTAGCAATATTCAGATAATTTGTGAAATATTTTATTTGGGTTTAAAATAAGGACTGTGGTACATTGATCATCTAGTCCATTAGAATCAGCAAGCCTTTTGTCTTCAGCAGTTTAGTTGTGAAATGCCTAGTTGTGGTTTTCTTTACAGCTGTCCCGAGTTGGCTGAGATTCTTGAATTCACATTCAATAAAGATTGTTAGCTTTAAGAGTTTTGGGAAATTCTTTTTTTTTTTTTTTTTTTTTTTTTTTTTTTTTTTTTNTTCTGTCTTGTTGCCCATGCTGGAGCGCAGTGGCGTGATCTCAGCTCACTGCAACCTCCGCCTCGCAGGCTCAAGCGATTCTCCTGCCTCAGCCTCCTGAGTAGCTGGGATTATAGGCATGCTCCACCACACCCAGCTAATTTTGTATTTTTAGTAGAGACGGGGTTTCTCCATGTTGGCCAGGCTGGTCTCAAACTCCCGACCTCAGGTGCTCCGCCCACGTCGGCTTCCCAAAGTGCTGGGATTACAGACGTGAGCCACCATGTCCATCCAAGTTTTGGGAAATTCTTGACTACGTTTTCTTTACATATTTCTCCCATCCTATTCTTTCTTTTTTCTTTAGTAACGCCGATGATAGGAATGAAGGCGTTTGCATTATGACTTGCATGTGACTGATATGTGTATTCTTTTATATTACCTGTGCTTTAGTCAAATATTTTATGCTGATCTGTCTTTGGGATCATCGAGCCAATCTTCGGCTATACTGTTCAACTCATCCAATGAAGTCTTCATAACAAGTATTGTGTTTTTCAGTCTTTGAATGATTACTTTTTACAGGTTTTGATCTTTTCCACCATTTGTTCATATTGTCTTTCAATCTTTTTTAATATATTGATCATTGTATCTCAATGTAATGTTAAGATGCTAAATAAAATATATTTTTATTTTCATCTGCTTATATTGTTTGTTTGTTTCACCTGGTAATTGATCACAACCGCTTGCTTCTTTTTATGTTAGTAATTTGTGACTGTATGCCAGATATTGTGGACAAAACACATGTCAAAGCTCTGTATCATGCGACTTCAACCAGATAGGAATTTGTGTTTTCTCTGTGGGGCAGATGGAGTGAGGAGGTCATCACCCCAATCCAAGAGGCTGAGTTAGATCAAGACTAGGTGGGTATTTTAGTAAGATCCCCTCCACCTCTAATTCTGTTTTTAGTCGTCAGGCCCACCTCTTCCATACTGTTGATTGAGAGCTCTGAAAGACAGTGGCAGGTTCAGGCTGTTCAGTATCCTGCCATACGCTCCATCCAAGTTTGATGAGCATCTTGGGGAGACCAGCCATGTGCTGTGCCAGACTCCTTTCCTCAAGTGGAACTTTTTCTCCCAATTATTATGGGACTTCTGGTGATTTTAACTTACTTTGCCGAAACTTCTAACCTTTTACTCAGCCTCAATTTAGCAAGGGTACTCTGAGGAAAATTGGCAAGGCATTTGGGGATACTTTTGTTTCCAAATTGTTGTGGTTGCTTCTATGAATGCCACAAGCTTTGCTGGCTTCTCTTTCCAGGTCTGAGCTGTTTCAAATCAGCAGATATCCCAGGAGAGAAAATAGCCTGTGAAAGTTAGCTAACCTAGGTAAAACACTCTGCTCTCTGGAATTTTTGTTCTAATTCTTTTTGTTTCTATAATTCACTGATCTCTTTAAATGAATTTTTTGCAATTAATTTGTGTTTTTTAGTTAGTCTAACAGGATTGCGTTCTCCTGCAACCCACAGCATTCTATTCATAACCAGGGGTCCCCTTAGGGTCAACTTTTAAGAAGTCTTGGGAAGCTATGTCCTTTCAACCTAACAGTCCACAAGATCTTCCCCTATTTTTTCAGAAGCTGCAGATGAGATGATCACAAAGAAAAGTACGGACATGTGTGACAAAGAAAGGTTAAAAATTAAATTTGTACTGTCATGTGAAAAACTGGACTCCTTTTTTCTGTGTCCAGAGATACAGGGAGTCCATGGAGCCTCCCCTGCAAGCATCAGTGCAGAAGTCTGTGATAACCCAGATGCAGGCCCAGGACTGTGTTGGACCTGGGGAGGAGTCCGCTGACTCAGAAGACTTGCATCTAAGGACTTGGCTGTCCTTATCCTTAAGTATGATGACTATGTTTGCAATTCCAGTAGACTCCTTTATGTGTTCTGAATAAATATGCCTTTTGGAAGTGAACTTCTAGAGCCCTTAACTTTGACCCATGAGTTTCCTTCCTGTGTGTGTGTGTGTGTGTGTGTGTGTGTGTGTTTATATATATATATATATATATTTTTTTTTTTT